GGACATTATACTGCAACTGTTCTATCAAAATTTCAAATGAATATCCTCATACGTGGCTCTCATTTTTCCCAGAAACAAAAATTTGATTTAAAAAAAATAAAAAATCTGGTAATTCTTTGTTTTTATATTCATCAGGTCCCAATCAGCCCAAATATCAAAGAGATATTAAAAAATGCATGCCGTGGAAGAGTTTGGGTCTTAGGAGTTTAAATCATTACCACACAAAAAATGTTTTTTGTGAAAAAGATGCAGATTAAACACAAAGGAAAGACCCTCTTTTCTCTTTTTGAACAGTTCTAATAAAAAACTATGTACTAACGTAAAACACAAATGGTAACTGTTGAATCTGCTTTTTGTCAGGTATGAACTGATGTCTTAGTATACCTCGGTGGGGAGAGAGCTTATATTTGTCACAGAAAATCTTGTACTTAATACGACCACTTTTATTCCAAATCTCAGGGGCCTCTTACATGCTGTGCTAGGATCCCATCCAGGGAACCCTAAATCAGATTCTGACTTGTTTAAGTCATCATTCATTTGTTTGTTCATTTTTCTAGCACTTTTTTTAGATCTTCAGGAACTAAAAATCAGTGGAAGTACATTTGTGAAGAAGGGTGCTTCCCTTAATCTTAACTTGCAGTGCTGGCAGTTTCACTGCATCTTCTATCAACTGGATTAAATCTGACACCAACAAAGACTTGAACAGAAAAATTGAAAGTAAAACCACAAAAGGCAATGGGTCAGCCTCTCTTACCATTTCTAATATGACACCAGAACTTTCTGGACAGTACAAGTGTATAGCAACAAGCAAGAACAAAATCATTATGAAAACCATTCATGTAAAATGTGAGTACATTTTTTCATATTTATTAATAATGAATAAAATCCTGTCTTCCTTACTCTTACACATATGGAGGAAATTTCTGTTCATGTGAGTTTACTGTAGATTTGACCTAATGTTGAGATTCATTTTCAGTATTTGCAGCTGGTCCAAGAATTTTGAATAGCTCTGGGTGTGAGGTTCAATCAGAGGTTCTGTGCTGTATGTGCAACAGTGAGGAGTTGGCCATTTTATGGTGGCCACATTTGAAAAGCCACACTGAGTATGTAACAACCAACGTGTCAATGCTAGATTTATGCTAGTTCTAACATTAATCAATTAACCTGAATTTTTGTACATATCTTGTAATGTATCCCAGTATCCAGTTTTGCCTTTACTATTATTAGCACCATTGTTACAAGCTTATCTTTATTTGCTCAATTTTTTCATAAAGTTTTAACTCATCTTATATAAAAACTTATAAAGGCAAGTTAGTAATTGTTAATAAATTGTGATTCCTAACTAATCAGGACAATATACATAAATAAAGCATTTTTTTAAATTACATGTAAGAATTAATAAATTTTTTGTCTTTGAGGAACCAAAGTTATCACAGAAAACACCCAAATTATGTGAACTTCTGGGCTTTGGTGGGGCCTTCAGTAATTTTCATTTCTATTAATTAATTTCATTCCAGAAAAAAACAGACGAGCTCTGAAAACTGAAGACCTGGATATGGTGACCATTGAAGCTGTTCCATTGGTAATGTCAATTCTTAGTTGGACAATATCTGAATATTACACTAGTATTGCATTAATTAACTTTTCGGTAAACTATAGGGAACATTAAATTACAAGAAAAACGGTGTGGAGATACAGAAATTCTTTTATTGCTGCCATATAATCTGCATCATTATAATTGCATTAATAACATTCTTTACAGCATTATTTCATCTAATAATATTTCTCACAGTATTGATATTGCATTACAGTTGTTTATTGAAGATGTCCATTTGAGGATCCTTCCATTATGTTAACTTTTATTACAAAAGGGTATGGACATTGAGGCTGTGGACAGCTACAGGTACCTTGGTGTTCATCTGAACAACAGACTGGACTGGACTCATAACTCAGACGCCCTCTACAGGAAAGGGCAGAGCAGGCTGTACCTGCTGCGGAGACTCAGGTCGTTTGGAGTGGAGGGCCCACTCCTGAAGACCTTCTATGACTCTGTGGTGGCTTCTGCTATCTTTTATGGTGTGGTCTGCTGGGGCGGCAGCATCTCTGCTGGGGACAGGAAGAGACTGAACAGGGTGATCCGAAGGGCCAGCTCTGTTTTAAGATGCCCTCTGGACCCAGTGGAGGTGGTGAGTGACAGGAGAATGGCGGCTAAGCTGTCATCCCTGTTGGACAACATCTCCCACCCCATGCAGCAGACTGTGACAGCACTGAGCAGCTCCTTCAGTGGGAGACTGCGGCACCCACGGTGTGGGACGGAGAGATTTCGCAGGTCTTTCCTCCCCACTGCTGTCAGACTCCACAACAAAGACTTTAACTGAACAAACACACACATCCACACATGTGCAATAACACTAAGTGCAATAATCTTTTCTGGCATCGTTGTATTTTTACTCAGTTGTATATAGCATTCGTATTC